CATGCCTTGGGCATTATCGCACAGTAAGACAATATCGTCCGCATACTCAAGGTCGAGAAGTCTTTCTCCAGGCAACAGATCCACACCACCATTACTTACATTCATCAGAGCTGTTTCCAGAATGTCATCGATGGCAAAGTTGAAGAGGAATGGTGAGATTGGGCAACCCTGCCTAACCCCACTGCTCGAATGGAACAATGGAGAGAGGTGGTTGTATGCCCTCACTCTGCCTGAGGTGTTTTTATATAGGGCTTTTAGGATGTTAATAAACTTCTCAGGCACACCCTTCTTCAATAGACAATCCCAGAGAACAGTCCTGTCCAACGAATCGAAGGCAGCCCTGATGTCAAGAAACACTACGATTGTTGGCCTTTGATAAGTATGGCGGTGTTCTAACATTTGGCGGAGGGTGAAGATATGATCAATACATCCTCGACCAGAACGAAACCCAGCCTGCTCCTCGCGAGTCAATCTTTCTCGGGTTTTGAACAACCTACGAAGTATGACGGAAGCCAATAGCTTGGACGCAATCGGAAGTAGACTTATCCCCCGATAGTTGTTACAGGAACGACGTGAACCCTTTTTAAAGATAGGGACAACTATCGACTCATTCCATGACGTTGGTACACTCTCTAGTTCCCAAACCTTTGTAAACAACGTCGTCAATTCCTTAGTCAAAAAGTCACCACCATCTTTAAAAAGAGCCGGAGGTAAGTCATCTGGGCCAGGTGATTTGTAACGCTTCAAGAGTTGGAGTTCCTTGCGGACTTCCTCCTCGTTTGGTGGATCAGTCGTCACCGGCCATGGAGGGCAGGACAGTCTGACCGATGTTGCCGGAGCAGCAGGCCAGTTGAACTGCCCTTCGAAAAATTCTGCCCATCGTCCAAGACGTCGATGGATGTTAGTGATTGGCATCCCATCATCCTCGCAGATTGTTTCACTCACACCAGACTTCTTGCTGCCAGTGGCTCGGATGAGCTGGAAGAGCTTCCGGTAATTACCAGATGCAGCTGCTGCTTCCAGCTCATTAGCACGCTTCGACCACCAGGCTTCTCGGTCCTTACGCAAGCTTTGCCCAATTTCCTTACGTAACATCCTTCGTTTATGGTCAAACTCACGGTCACCCGGAGTAGACCGACGGGCTTCAATGAGTTGTAAGGAACCAGAAGAAACCCAGTGCTTAAAAGCGGGACGTTTCGCAAACCCACAACTGACTGTTCCCGCCATTTTCATGGCGTCATGCAATTGCAACCAATGCTCATCTATACTTTTCGGTGGAGTGGTAGCTAGCCTAGAGGCTAGCTCGGTTCGATACTTACTTGCAACAGAAGTTGCAACCAGCTTGCTAACATCAATCCGTTGGTGGTGGTCACTTCGTTGGCCACTGAAAAGTAAGGCAAGATTGGCGCAGACCAAGGCATGGTCAGAGTCCAGATAGGTACTCCAAAAGGAGCGGCAGTCTTGTACACAACCACGCCAGCGGTAGCTGATCGCGATGTGATCAATCTGAGTCCAGGCTTGAGATGCAGAGGGAGGACGCCAGGTGGCACATCGGCGATGACTGTGCCGAAAGTTAGTGCTAGCCAGAAACAGGTTGTGGTCTGTGCACAGTTGCAGTAGACGGTCCCCGTTATCTGACCTGCGACCAACGAGTCCCCATCGGCCACCTAAACGACTCTCTTCTGTGCCTAGACGCCCGACCTGAGCATTCAAGTCTCCGGCTAGTACTACAATATCTGTCGAACGCACTTTCTGGAGAAGAACTGATAACTGGTGGTAAAACTCATCCTTGATTGCATCCGGGCTGCAATCTGTCGGGGCATAGGCGGAGATGACGAAAAGACATCGTTTCTCACGCCGATTTCTTCTCACTTTGATGGAACTTTCTAATCTAACAGCACATAACCGACTGTTAATGGGGATCCAATCGACTAGTGCTGCCTCAGCTCTAGCGCTTAGTGCGACACCAACGCCAGCAAGACCAGACGAAGATGCCACAGGGTCCCCGGATAAGCGCACGTAAAACAAGCTTTTCGAAGCGACAGATGGAGATCGAATTTGTAGTACTTCGCCAGAGTCTTGAATACGGGTCTCGGATAGACAACAAACATCAATATTAAGACTTTCCAAAGACATAGCCAGCCCTATCTGTTGACCAACCTGCATAAGTGTGCGAACGTTGAAGGCAGCCAGTTTGAATGGCGCACGTGGTTTCAGAAAAACTGCTTCAGTACTCATATTCGATGGTAACATACAATTTTCAACCGGACAGTGACTCGAGAACGTTTAGATAATAAACTCAATGATAGTAAGACAATGACCGGGATCATCAAGACATAAAGGCTATTGGTCTATGATGCAACTTCTTATATCTTTTCGTTTGATAGCCCATATACAACAAGAACACAACAGACAAAGAAACTTCTATAATTCAGTATAGAACTTAAAACTTGTCCGACAGTATAGATCAATTGGTTGACTTCATACTAGTACTAATAGGAATATACAATTTTTACATGATTACACTATAAATAAAACAAAACTGAACAACAAGTCTATAATAGTGTTACATTAATTTGAGGAAGGTTTCTAGGTTAAGGTTAAACGAAAGCTTACAACCAGAAAAACATGTATAAAGAATAAATAGATTAAGGACATTTGATTCGTCAGTTCCCAATATACTTTCCTTTATAATCAGCATAATGCCCAGGACAGGGTAGGATGGAGAATGCTGGTGAGTGGGCTATGCTCCCTCACGAGGAGTAACAGGCGTAAGTAAGTAACTTTAAAACAAAAGGAACTACACAAGGACTACATGTTATACACAGTGAACTGATCTAAGTTAGACGGACATTGGAAACCTAGGAGCATCATTAGATGGTTGCATTGTTCGGGTATGGGTAATCCCATAATGACATTGCTTTTTTGATATCACTTGTTTTCTTACTATTTAATATAACTTTTCACTCTATTGTTGGTTGATTGATCAATTGTTGTTATAACGAGATAAATACTGAATAAAATTGAACTTTAAAAACTATTCTACCTAAAATTACTGTTTATATACTTTTGCTGTATTATTATTATTATCATCATTAGATTTTTGTAACCTCTTAGTTGTAAGCTTTTCTATGATGTAACTTATTTAAGTTACTGTTATTTTATTATAAACATATTACTCAGTTCTATTCCAGTTAGGGTTTAATTATGCTCCTATTGAAGCATTTTAATAAAGTTGATATGTGGTAAGTATTTAACTCTAAATTTTTGTGTGAGTTGAGTCATGAATACGAACTGCATAAACGAGGAGTATCTGTTTACTGTATAGTGTTCTCAGTCATTTAGTCAGCTACAATGTAAGACCAGGCACATATATGCATCGGTCTAAGTTGTCATGACTCATTAGTACAACAACATGAACACCAAATTCATAGAAGTAGTTAGTTAAATAGTGGTAATATATAAAAGAAAGATTGCATATAAGGATATAGTATAGCAAGGAAGAATTACTTGGTAGAATAAAAGATATGAAGCGATTTTAATCTCATAGCTTGAAGGAAGACAGAAAGTGTATACACCGACGCCATTGTGATCGATTCTCAGCCATGTCACCTACAATCTCCAAACACTGGTTACGATAGTCACGCGGACCCCAACCAAGTAATCTGCATCTACCAACATAGCTCAGACCAGAAGTCAGTGACTTCAAGCATTGATGCCACGTTTTGGTTTGGCCGCCCCTAACTTTCTTCCAACCATCCCCAACACCGGTTAGCATTGCACGTCGTGGTAATCGATGTTCAGGCATACGTAACACGTGGCCCCACCATCTCAGTCGATGAAGACTCACAACCTCATCAACTGATTTACCATCAGTCTCTAATAATATGTAGTGTTCTATTCTGGTTATCATGTGAAACAGCACCGGAGAACTACATTCTAGACCAATAATCGCTAATTTTTATTCTTAGCTATTATCTCACAACAATCATGTCACAAGTACTAGATAATGTCTAGACAAATTAATCGATACTGGGATTGGATCAATACAACTGTACTTCTGTAATTACGACCTGATCTTACGGGCCCCGAAAAAGGCTCAAGAAATCTGTTTTTTCGTACTATCACTTATTCATCTACTAAGTACGGATTTATGTTGTCAGCTTTCAACCACGCACTTAGCGATATTACTCAGTTCTCTATCTTAAAGTAACTGAGATGGGACTTAAACCTGAGAACTAATGGTTGGGAGCTGAACGAACTAACGTCCAAGCCATTGCATCCCACTCTCCTACCGCTGCTATGATAACCTTAATTTCTTAAGTCTTTATTTATGAGAATACTATTCAGTATAACGTGGCAATAATCGGAGAAGGACTGAGAAAAGTAATATGTCTAGCTAAATACAATAATTGGAGTATTTAAATTCTGCTTCGCTCAGTTCGGTTTTAACAACAGTTACAGAAGAAAACAGCAAATAATGATAATCCATAGTATTAAGGTAGTAATAGAACGTAACATACTAAAATTTGATAGCATAGGAAACAGAGAGAAACGAATTCGGTAAAACTTTTTTAATAAAGAATAATTCGCCTAATATGTAGATAGTACTAGTCGAAGATTGCTTTCAGGTAGGGTAGCAATGGATATCAGAGAAGACTGGATAGCTGTTTCGTCCGAGTTTGGAACTCTTCAGAAGTGCGAACTCATGGCTGATACCATGAGTTAAACCCAGAAACTACGAATATCGCGGCGAATGTTTAGCCATTGGGACCGCAGGATCTGCATCCATTGCAACAATTCCAATTCCAACAAATTTGGGATATACACAGTACAACGATCAATTACTAACAATAGTGACAACTGTTTAAATTTCGATGCATCTGAACGTTAAGAATATCTTATAGTAACTTACTAGTGATATCAATCTGTAACGAGTACAACCTATAAAAACAGGAAAATTAAAGTAAACTCCACAAAACCTCTGAAAAATAATTTACCTAGTAATTGAGCAAATGTTGGTCTAGCTTTTGGTTCATGTGCCCAACATGCTCGCATCACAGCATCGTAAATTGGATCTGGACATGCATCTGGTTGATCTAACCGACCAAAACGTGGTGTATCGATCATTTCTAATATTTGTCGACCGGTAAGACCAGCCCATGGTGTAAATCCATAAGTAAATATCTCCCATAATGTAATACCATAAGCCCATATATCTGAATGTATAGTAAATAATAAATCATGTATACATTCTGGTGCACACCATGCAATTGGAAGTTTAAGATTAACATTGAAATTTGATTGGTAATATGATTTGCCAAGTTGAAGAGCACGACTCATACCGAAATCACTAATTTTTACCTGTAGAAAGAAAATAAAAGAGCAAAGAAATATTTAGGCACTGAAATGATCAATTCGAACAATGATGGATTAACTTAATGTTCGATCATGAGTTTAAGAAATATTACGAAAATTAGAATACCGCGAGCGAGATCGTGGATGCGCACTGCTGAGGAGTCCCACAATAGGACGAAACGGTCGTCTAGTGCTTTCAGGTTTCTAGTGGTGGTCTAACACCAAAAACTTAATAATCTCCACAACCGTATAATGATAATTAGAAAGTAGTCTAAACTTAAGAATTCTGTATTCCACAAATTCACTGAATTAATCAACAATCGGAATCATGACTATCAAATTTAGTTATTTTCAAATGTAAATGTATAAGACTACTAAACAATTGATATAAAATGATTGGAAGTAGTTGGTAGGACATCCTACTTGATATAGATTCTATGTTAGTTAGCAGATTGCACATTGATAGACAGAATCCAATTAGCACTAGGTACTAGACTAATATGAAATTGAACGCTACTTAATAATCAGTCAGTGGTAAACGACTGATATAACTCGATAGCCAGTATATTGATCAATACTCGGCGCCTCAAGTTACGACTTCCCATTACATATTTAGGGACTTTAATACAGAAAGCGGTATCAGTAATGCAGAATATGAATTTATTAAAAAAATAGGAATCCAATTTAACAATTCTGTATACACGGATAAGTTCTTTTTCCTCGACGGACTGAACTCAGTTAGAACATCATTGCAAACCAGAAGACATTAAACAATTATTTCGTTTTAGTATCCAACTATTCAACAGTGTGCATCTACAACGTTGACAGGCATTGAACCACGAAGCATCAAGCATCGTAGAGAATAAGTTAACATTTCGGCTACTTCAGTTGCCTACCATCAAACAGTTTACATTTCCAATTTCAATCGGTTTGTGATATACCATAACCATCATCTATATTCAGTTACTAAAAGCTAACTAAAAGCCATATAAATCTCTAAAATGACTGGTGTTACAAACCAATTGCCCAAACCTGTAACGCAGGACTTCATTTCGAGTAACTAAATCTATTTGACTAACTAAAATCCCATAAATAGATAACATAGTCAATTGAAACAAAGAATTACACCTTTCATATTGTTAAATTATCATTTTCATATAAATATTTATTTCATTTATGTATTTGTCGAAAAGAAAATCTCGGACCAGATTGTCAAGCAATACGTTGGATTTACTTCCAATTCATTTAGTGAGATTTTACAAATACATTCTTCCTCTTTAAAAGTTAAGGGGTTGTAGCAGACACAAACACACACACACACATAAATACACGCGTAAACTCAATTTTGTAGATATTCCGAATGGAATTTCAAAATGTATTGTTTTAAATATATATATATATATCCATCTTTGCTTATAAAGCTTGTGACTTAAAGCAATATCGAGGCAATCCGCACAGCATGCACATATAGCCAACAAGAGACTGATCAATTACAGTCCTAAACAACAATGGGAAGGATACAAGCAAACAACACCTAGTGAATTTAAATGAAACATTTGTCTTTTTTTATAATAAGTTATATAAAAGAAAAACATTGAATTAAACAAATCCATTTGCTAGACGGAATACACCCATTAAGACATTAAATAAGAAAGATTAGTTCAGTGAAGAGTTCTCCCCCTTTTCGGTGAATTCATTTTCAAAGATGTACAATTACAAATATATATACTTATTTTTACAGGATGATAATAATACTGATAATAAACTTCTGTTAGACATGGTAACAGTAAGGTAAAATAAATAAAAGTATTAAAGAAAACTTTTTCTATAAAACAAGGAAGGTTTAATAATCGTTTGATTGTTAATGGCTTAAGTATTCATAAAAAAAGATAGGGAAATTATCATCGGGAAAGGATGGTTCAGCATGATAAGATAAAATGTTGAAATTGAAATTAAATGTAATCAGAATGATCGTGGAAACAAAAATAAACCAGTTGAGGGATAGAGGATTTGAGGGGAAGATGGAAGCAGATGTCCGTAAAGGAAGAAGAGTATGAAAAAGAGAAAAAAAATAAGACATTAAGACCATGGTAAAAGAAGAGGTTGTACTAGCCTCTTACGCACACACAACTCCAATTTTTCCAGATGTATGGCTAATGCTTCAGCAGTGCAAAGACGACACAGTCTAATTGTCTTTGGAAGAGTTCAACTAACCTTGTAGATGACTTTGAACGCAGTCTGTCTTGATTGAGTGACCTGTGTTCACAAGGTGTTCGATTATTGAATTTTTTATCAAGCCGTTGCCTCCTCTTTATATATATATATATATATTTAGAACCAAGGGATAATTCTTGTAGCTGAATAATCGATAATGTTATACTTGAGTAATTGAAAACATATTTCTCTGGAGATTCGGGAAACTTTTCATTAATTTCAAGATCACATCTTCAGTACAATTTTTGCTAACAATATCAATGTAATCTTTTAATTTGAAACGTTGATCTTCTGACAAATCAAATAATGTGTGTGAACGTAATGAGACACTTCGTTCCCTTGGTCCTAAATTTTGTAGTACATCTACTAACATTAATGAACTCAATGCTAAAATCCAGTTTGAAAGCCTCATTCGACAGACAAATGACCTTATTCCAGTATATATATTTGTATATAATACATACTCCCGACCGCTGTTGCTACCTTGACGTGGTGGTCGGGCTTGCCTATCGTGATGAAGCAACCGAGCTATACTGGCTGGAACAACTGTTCCTCAAGGTCCTACCATGTCAGACAAGTCGGTTGAAGAGCGGTAAGACTAAAAGCAACAAACCCAAGGTCCGAAGGCGAAGTCGTACTGCTCACTGTACAGAGGTGTGACAGCAGTAAGGTGTTTCGTTCAGACAACCAGCATGACAGCGATGCTGCCTTCCCACAAGGAGGGGTGGGGTTAGAAAAGGTCGACCCTAAAATGCACACCTCACCTTATCTCACGGATATCCGTCCCCGGCGATAAGGTCTCAACAAGTACGGAGCTAACACAAAAATTACCCATAAAAAGGTCAAGTGACCGACATACTATGGATCATCTAACATCTACGTATATAAAACCGACACAGTAGAAGGATCATTTTCATTCATTCATACATATTAGTGGATATTACTGTCTTTTCTTGTTAGTTAACTTTTTAAATGATCTTACTAAAAAATATATTAATTAAGATTAATTTTAAAGAGGAAGAATGTTGTATTTGTAAAGTTTCAATCAATGAATTTGAAGTGAATTCAACATTTCACTTGGCAATCTAGTTCAAGTTCTTTTTTTTTTAAGGAAATACATTCTTTCTCTTTAATATCCCATATCGATTCGGCGCATAAATTTAGACGAAAATTCTTAATTGAGATTAATTTTTGTCAATAAGGGAATATTTTATAAGTAATTTATATGTATACCCTTTATTGAACTTGTTATCTATTTATTTATTTATTTTAACACATAGATATCGGTACAAGGAGGCACCAAATATATATGCGCCACACAAATCTCATTCGATATGTGTGAGGGCTGTGATACTGCCCGGGTGCCCAAACCGGAGCACGTGGTTTTCTTAGGGGGCCACTTCCTGAGCTTATAGGTCTAACCACAAGGCAGTGGAGCATCGTAAGGAGATGCAGTCCCATGGTATCCGATGACCAACGATTGGTTCATACGCCATTTCTCCCCTCAGGATACTGGAGCCCATGTGCACCATTGGTTAGGGATCCGGTTAATGCGCCGGACATTCGCTTTTCGTCCTCTCAATTTCGTAAACAACAGTAATGCCACGAGAAGGTAGTGAGTAGGACTTTCCTGGCAGAGGCTGTATACGCGTGACCGTGTGAGAGCATTTCGAAAGGGAGGGGGGCACCCCACTCTCGGCCATACCAGGGCATTTGGGGGCTTTAGTTAAAGAGGTTCCTCTAATTTTTATGATGTAGGATTGTTGCTAGTTTTTATTGAGTTATATCTAATAGTGTCTTAAGTTACTGAATTGTTTCAGTTTTAGGACAGCAAACAAGTAATAATAAAGGACCAGCAGGTATCAGTCTTGTACAACTTGGAAAAAGTTCATTACCTAGTAGTATGATCAAGTGTTTCACTTTATGCTAATAGATTTCATATTAGTATTGTGTATGGAAGATAATAAAAGGAAATTAAGTCTACCACTACTACTATGGTGTATGCCACCAATGCTGACAGATATAAGTAGTATGTAGCACCAACCGGAAGTGGAATGGCTGACAACAGAAGATTAAAATGAAGAGAAAAGGAAGTGAATCGGAGAGAAATCGAAATAACAATGGAATTAAAGGAATAATGAAGTTTGTGAAGGGCAACACAAAGATGTGCAAATTATGTATTTATTGCATGATTTTCATATTTTACAAACACTCTCTGTAATTTTGAGCTAAACAACAAGTCGGTTTTCTCCACTGTTAGCGGAACATAGATTGGATCAAAGCATATTCCGTGCAGAATTGTGTTGGTGCACTCTGATTTGCTATTTCTCATCCAATCAGCGCCAGTGTATACTTGGAGAAGATTCTAGGACCTACTTGTGTAAGAACTATAAACATACTAACGTTTTCCCCATTGTGCTGCCTACTTTCATCTGCCCTTGTTATTTGGAATATAATTTCTTTCCTGTTCAACCGTGTTCTGATTTGAGGATTTGTCGAGTGAAGTAGTATCTGAGAAAACTAAGCAATAGGAATAGCTGAGTCGTAATAAGAGAAATTATAACATCCACCAAGTCTTTGTTCACTACACCACTACGTTTTGGTCACCTCTGAACTGCATCTATTTTTTGAGTATCAAGACTAGTGATAACAACTGGTTGTTCAACCGAAAAAGGTCTAATAGGTATGTTGTAACCAACAATTTTAGTCATTTTTCTGCTCAGCTAGTAGGTGAGTGCTAAATAATGAAGTTATTTTTTATTAAAGATTTTGTTCTAACCATTTGGAGTGATCCACAAATGTTAGTGTGTAGAGAAGCTCAACATTTCAGATGAAAAGTGCAAGAATACAGATGGTTTTTGTATCCTACAAAATAAAACTTGCCAGTTTGAAAGATTTCAAATGTTTATCTACAGCCATATTCACAATGATATCAAAAGATTCACTAGTTACCTCAATACTATACGTCATCCAGAGAAATTTCTCTTAAATATTCAAGAAATGATAATGGAGAACAGAATAGAATAAAGGGTAACAAATGTGAATATACAAATTGTACTAGTATAGAGTAAGGGCCAAAAACATGTAGCCTCTTTAAATAGTAGGTCAGACAAAAAACGTTCTTCAATATTGACAAAATATGTAAAGACCAAAAGAGATTACAAGTAAAACATACATCAACATAAATGAAATATGACATTTTGTTGCAGAATCTCTAACGGTACAGAAGTCATACGAACCCGCCAGGATGTTTAGAGATTAACATTTTAAGCTGAAGTTATTTATTCGATATTTAGAAGAATTTAGTGTAAAACCATTGAAAATAGACCCAATATTCAATGTCCGCTAAAATCTTATGAAGTTAAGAGGAAGAAACTGACATAGCATAATCAGGATACTCAACAAAAAAATCCCTTTTGTTAGTTTAAGAAATGCTACTAGCTGATGAGCCATAAAACTCTAGTGGCGGAATCGAATGATTGTTCAAATTTACTTTAAGACTTAGGGAAAATGTAATTCCACAATGGAGTAGGTGTATACACTTTCGGTCTTTCTTTAAACTATGAGATTAAAATCGCTTCATGCCTTTCTTTCTACGGAATAATTCTTTCTTCCTATACTATATCCTTATATGCAATCTTTCTTTTATATATTACCACCATTGAACTAACTACTTCTATGAATTTGGTGTTCATCTTGCTGTGCTAATGAGGTATGGCATTTTGGACCGATGCATGATATGTGCATTGTCCTACGTTGTAGCTGGCTGGCTGACTAACTGACTGAGTTCCAAAACTTTACACGGAATCAAACATATAACCTTTCCTTCATGATTCCAGTTGAATCAATGAATAAAAATATGAAGGTTCACACTTCCTAACCTCAATTAAATTTAGTAGCATAGTGTGATTCTTATCCAATGTTACTTGATGTTTTATCGTCTGTCTTCTGTCTTGGTTAAATCCATCTACAAACTGATTATTGGTGAATAGACGATTATTATTCTTACTATTTGGATAATAATAATAATAACAATAACAATAATAATAATAATAGCAATTGGATAGTTCGGTTTTTTACTGCTTACAATATCTTTTGAAAATACTAGAACATTTCTAGCTGCCAAATCACGATGTACTAGACCACATTCTTCTAAATAACTCATTCCTCGAGCAATCTGTATTGAGAATTTATACAAAACAGGAACAGAGAAACTGGATCTTAATTCAGATTCACGTAAGCATTCTAGTAGAGAGCGAAGTGGAGCAAGTTCAGTAACCTAGAAATATATACACAAAAGAAATGTAACAAAAGTATATCAAGCATCAATAACGAAATCAATAAAAATGAAATAGACTTTTAATAAGTTTAAGGGGAATTCATAACACAGAAACATTCAATGTTATAATAAACAAAAATAAGGTATTCAAGTAGACAGCCCGGTGGGATTTTAAGAGAAAGTTTCGGGTTTCATTGTGAACATCAACATTGGGAAATGCAGGTACGTTTAGTTGAAGTCTCAAATAGGACAAAACGCACATCCAGAACTCAGTTGCTGGACAAGATCAAGGTTTAACATAAGGTAATCTATGTTTGGTTTATTTTGGTGTAAAATGATTCATATTAGTATCAAGGATATAGGAATATGGTTTTATTAAAATTAATCTGATCAACTTTCTTAAAATAACGCCTGAAAATGTGGGATTTGTGATAAGGGATTTTGTCTTGGATGATAAGTCTAGAACAAAATAAAATGTTCCAAATTTATTTATATACAATTTATACAGATACAACTGATGCTGAGACGAGTAGCTATGGTCTATATATACAGTGCACGGTGGCTAGATAATAGTATTTCATCGGTCTAAAGTACGGTACACAAGTAATATAGCTGGATATAATTGATTTAGATAGTTATTTTTTAGACTATCTAGATGAATTTAAAATACTGTGTATAATTATTAACTCCGCCTGGAGCCCCTCTGGGGCTACTGCTGGTCCCAAGCCCGGATAAAGGAAGAGGGTTGGGCATGGGGTTAGTGACCCCATCCCGTAGAAAACGAACTCGCTAAAAAAGATGCTAACCATTAAGTAAGTTGTATATTTATTGATATGGTGGATACATTATAAACATGATATTCAGGTCGAAAGTCTCATTAGTGAACTTATGACCTACAAAATTTGCATCTTAAAATCGCTTGTCTTAAGTAATTTTCAAATTTGTTAATTTTTATGCTAAACATACTTACATGTTAGAAAAAAACAACTTTTGCTGGTCAGTTGTGCTGTTTTTTTATAACAGTCTATTTAAAGACTTAGTAATTTGAAGTAAATGACAGTTAACAATCTTGCATTATTATAGATCACTTATCAACCAGTATATCTTGCTCACAACAAACTCAAGGTTATCCTTTCAGTAACACATATTCCCACTATCATATATCTTAAGTAATTTACCCAGCATTTACCCTGTTTAAGCTACATAAACTATCTAGGTGAATCACTGTGAACATACAGATACTATATTCAGTTTCGAAAAATAAACAAAACAACCACCTAATTATTTAGATCAATGTACTTTAACTAAAATTGTCAATTAACATAGGTAGATTTCAACTATTCATACTGTTTAGTAGTAGCATATGATATTGTGAAGCTGTTGTAATTAACATTAGTGATGTTTTTTTCTTGGATTCCACTCACAATTTCAAGCATATTTTCATCACTTCTAGTTAGAATTGTAAATAGTTAGTTATGGTCATTAATAATTATTCATCTTAACAGTTGAGATCATGAGTCAATTGAAGATAGACCACTATGGAAAACCTGGAAGCACTGGACGACCGTTTTATCCTGCTATGGGACTCTTCAGCAGTGTACATCCACGATCCCGCCTCGCGAGACTTGAACCCAGGACCTATCAGTCTCGCGCACGAACACTTAACCTCTAGACCACTGAGCCGACCAACATCCAACAGTGTTAATGTCTAACTTCAACCAATCCAAGAAATTGAGCGACACATCCAACATTGTCATCAGTGAGTTACCATCTCACAACAGACCCGGTTGAACTTCACTACTCACTGCTTCTCATTAGAACTCCAGGAAATACCTCTTGAAGCCAGTCACTAATGAGCATATGCTGATCAATATCTGTAGTGATCTAGCTTCAATTGATTCATGATCGCAACTATTAAAATTACTAATAATATTCACAAAAACCCCTACTGATATGAATTATTCATCTATTACATACACTACAATTATTCATAATTAGACTGATCGAAATGAAAATCAAGTTCAAATGATACGAGACAATACTAATTGGACTAGTAATTCAATATTAAAATGCTTAGTCATACAAAATTTACGGACAAAAAGAACAAATAAACAAACAAACAAATGAGAGAAAAAAAAGAAAGAAAGAAACACTGTTCAAGTATTTCTATGGCATTATTTATCTGTTGTTGATCTGTTTACACAGTGTGTGTGTGTGTGTGCCATTTCAAAAAAAAAAAAACATTTCATATAATTCTATACATGTACACACATGAACATATGAAGGAATAAATGTATGAATGATTTATTAACGTTATTGACACAAACAGTTGAATGTTCAATGAATCAACAATTATATCTTAATATCACAAGGGGTTTTTTGTGGATATTATAGTAATTTCAATAGCTGCGATCATGAATCATTTGAAGGTAAACCACTATGGAAAACTTGGAAGCATTGAACAGCCATTTCGTCCTATTGCGGGACTCTTCAGCAGTGCACATCCACGATCACGTTTCACGAGATTGGAATCTAATATCCACAAAAAACCCCTCCCGATATTAATCAGCATATCCTCATTGGTGACTGGCTTCAAGAGGTATTTCCTGGAGTTCTAATGAGAAGCAGTGAGTAGTGGAGTTCAACAAGGTCTATTATGAGAGGGTAACTCACTAGAAGCATGCTGGATGTGTGGTTCAATTTCTTGGATTGGTTGAAGTTAGACATTAACACTGTTGGATGTTGGTCGGCTCAGTGGTCTAGAGGTTAAGTGTTCGTGCGCGAGACTGATAGGTCCTGGGTTCAAGTCTCGCGAGGCGGGATCGTGGATGTACACTGCTGAAGAGTCCCATAGCAGGATAAAACGGTCGTCCAGTGCTTCCAGGTTTTCCATAGTGGTCTATCTTCAATTGACTCATGATCTCAACTGTTGAAATTATATCTTAAATAAAATTCATAATATATTAAGAATTGCATGTAAGCTTATATAGTTGTGATTATCAATATCGTTGGTGTTCTATGTAGAACACCAGAGAAATAAATCACTTTATATATAAATCAGTTGAGATGTTGGTTGGGGAGAGAGAAAAAACAAACAATTGAAGTTAAAATGGAACCTTAAGAAATCTAAGTTTTAGATAAGATGTTGATACAAGCCAACAACTAGTTGTTGGAGCGAAGATTTGTTGTAATGATAGAAACATCTAAAGTCGAAGGGACCATAGAGTTACATAAATCATTTGTAGCTATCTATGTTCAACTATGTATGTTTGATATTTCACAGACCAAGCCAAATACATTAATGGTTTGTCGGTTAAAGGAATTAGCTTCTAAACAAAATATCACATGATCGAACCTAGTTTCACCTATTATGGATTTGGGTAGCCAAGTAATAACACAAACAATGTGGCTTAAAGATAGATATATATAAATCTACATTTGGCAAATGAATATCAAAATTAGTAACAATCAATTCCCTCTACTACAATTTATCTAAAGTAGATTGATGAAATGCTTTAGACTGACTATATCGAATTAAGACAATAAATTCCATAAAGTAACTCATTGCCATTTTCAAATGGTCCCGAAGTTTCTAGCTAAAATTTTTCACTAGATATTAAAAAAACCATAATATGAAGATTTATACATGTTGAACATGAAAATTCATTTTGGTGACTCTATCTAGTTGAAATTTTAACTCCGCCTGGAGCCCCTCTGGGGCTACTGCTGGTCTCAAGCCCAGATAAAGGAAAAGGGTAGGACATGGGGTTAGCGACCCCATCTCGTAGAAAACGAACTCGCTAAAAAAACGCTAACGTAGTTGAACTTTTGAGGAATATAGCATTTCTCAAGTCATTCAACAAGCCAAATCCATAAAAAGATATTTTAATCGATATTGAAAACAATGCGAAGGAAGTATCCAAAAATAACGTTTTTCATAGTTTCGAAAATTGAAAATGCATACTGTATGAGAATTTTTGAGTAAAACAAGAAAAAAGACTCTTAAAAAAACAGTAGGTAACGTGTATGGATTTAAAGGGGATCAAACCATTCGACGAAAAGAACCTACCACAAATCATCAACCAAATTGAAAAGGACCAGTGAAGGATTTTTTTATTATTAATGCCGTCAAGCATTTTTTTGTGCTTACAAACACAAATACACAGACATACCGGTAAGGCTGTCCATCATATTTATTCTTGTTTCATTTCATCATAGATCTACTGATGGAAATAACTTTCTCGTCGACTGAATTCTCGGGAATTGATTTCCTAATAGAACATCCACTTATTCACCTAGAATACGCAAATCACATAGTTCTGTTTGATGAAGACGCTGATAAAATGCAGAGTTTTTAGGTAGCATTAAGCAACAATGACGGGATGTTTGGAATGGGTTTCTCTCCATCTAAATGCAAATTGTTGCTTCAGGACTGGCCTGCATCAACATCTGAACTGAAGATATGGAGTGAAGTAGTGGAACGCGTCGACAACTTCACTTATCTTGGAAGTCTGATCAGTTCTAATTGGTTGATATCTGACGAAATCTCTACACGGATTCTAAAAGCTCGTTTGGTTTTTGCCAACTTAAGTCACCTATAGCGAAGGCGAGATATCCATCCATCAATTGAAGGATGAGTATACTGAGAAGCAGTTCTTCCTGTTCTACTTTACGGATGCGAAACGTGCCCATTAAAGTTAGAGGATATTCATAAGTTACCAATATTTGATCACAGAAGTCTTGAAAATAGTACTTCCATCAGCTCAGACCACCACGGGGTGTGAGTAATCGGCAGGTTAGACGCAGGATATTAGAAAATGCTGGTAAATCAGTTGATGAGGTTGTGAACCTTCATTGACTCAGATGGTTGGGCCATGTATTGCGTACGCCTGAACACCGATTACCACAACGTGCAATGCTAATTAGTGTTGCGGGTGATTGGAACAAAGTTAGGAGTGTGGCCAAACCAAAACGTGGAATCAGTGCTTGAAGTCACTGACTTCTAGTCTTAGCCATGTTTGTAGATGCAGACTACTTGATTGGGGTCCATGTGACTATCGTAACCAATGGTTGGAGACTCTTGGTGACATGGCTCAGAATCGATCACAATGGTGTAGGTTTATATACTCTCCCTCAAACCATGAGATTAAAATTGCTTTATATCTTTCTTTCTTTTATATATTACTACCATTGAATTAACTACTTCTACGAATTCGGTGTTCATGTTGTTGTGCTAATGAGGTATGGAAACTTGGACCGATGCATATATGTACATTGTCCTACGTCTTAGATGATTAACTGACTGTCTAATTGAATCGAGAACGACAATTCATAGAGAATATCTAGTGGACTTGGCTCAATACACTGTTTTGGAAATAAAAAAAGGGTCACACACACACACGTACAACATTCAGTTAAAACAACCTTTGTGAATGAAAGTAAGGTCAAATTGAAAACCAACCAAAAGCAGTAATACAATGTCACAGTAAGCAGAGCAAGGACATTATTATTATGTAATAATAATAATAATAAGTTTAATATAGTAGAATATTACTTATTAAATAATATATTATCTTTAAGGACAAATTAATTATAAAAAATAAAGTGTTGTTTAAAACACGTTTTAAATGTCAATCAAACGTTAACAAATGCATAAACCTGTAAATTCTGTAAGTTATTTTTAATGAACGTTTAAATAAATAATCATTAATTGTTTGTGATTACCTACTGTTGAAATTCAAAACACTAATTGATCAATCTCTATTATGTTGCGGATTGTATTCAATACAAACTTCATTATGATCTTTCGTATATTTTGAATATGGTTAGCAATATTTCGTCTTCGTTGAAACTTGCCAGTTGGATGTATCTGGATTCCAAGTTTTATATATACATTAAGATTTGAAATCAGTAGTTTTCGCTTCAAGCAATAATGCATTATCCACTGAGCTAACATTTCTACATTTGTTGAATAAGATATTGGTTATTTAGAGTCAGTAGCTTGATGGATATCAACACATTGGGCGTTTGAAGCCAAAGATATCAAATTTTTTTTAAATAGAACCTAATGGATTTTAATCTCATTGGTTAAAGTATAGCTGTGTTCAACCACGAGATCTCAACACCTTAAACTTCATGAAGCGAGATTAAGAATAGAATGTAACATATGAACAGTGTTACAGTCAAGTTCTCAATTATTGTTCACTTTAATAGTTGAATTCATGAGTCAATTGAAGGTAGACCACTATGGAAAACCTGGAAGCATTGGACGGCCACTTTGTCCTATTGTGGGACTCCTCACCAGTGTATATTCACGATCCCGCCTCGCGAGACTCGCACTCAGGATTTATCAATCTCACGTGCGAACACTGAATCTCTAGACCACTGAACTGGCCGGCATCCAACGGTGTCAGTGTCTAACTTAAACCAATCCATGAAATTGATCCATGATCTCAAATATTAAATTACTATAATATTCATAAAACTCCTCTCTGATTATTATTGTTTAGCTGATATTTATTTATGATGAAAATAATGTACAGGGTTAATAAAGAACAATATTAGTTTTTATAAATCAAGTTAGATAATTGATTACAACACTCTAGTTATGCAACAAACCAATCCTATGCACAGTTGATAACAATGAAGAAAATAATAGACATGAAGGAAGTTATCAGTTGTTATCGATGAGACATACTATTAACGAATGATGATATAAATATTAGCTACATATTATCTAATAGGTAGATTATTGACTATGACAATTTGTCTTTCATTATCTGAATTGTGGATTCGAAACCCTCTTCACTTGATCAATATTAACAGGTATCAAAAATAGTGGTTCAGTAAACAACGAACTTTGTAACCATTGAGTTAAATAATTATTCCACTGTGTCCATAATCCTTGTAAAGAGTAATGAATGAAGTTTTCTTTAGAAGTAATTGAAATATTTATGAACTAACAAGTATACTACTAATTAAGGCAGCCTTAACAAATAAGTGATGAAAAGTTACTGGTTTGAATCCTCCTGACTTGACCACCAGTTTTATTGTAGCTTTCATTATTAACATCATTTATCTATTTTATAAAATAAACACATTAATCTGAACAGCCCAACTAATCTGATCAACATCGATCAATGGTTTAATCGATACAGGTCTCATGCTTAAAGGTATGACAAATACTGGTAAAGATGGTACGAAATTGACGAGATTAAGAATCTTTACCAAATGAAATAGTCGGAAGATGTATTACGTATGAACAATCACCAACTAGCCTGACGAGCAATGTTCACTGATGTAAGAGTAGGTTAGATAAATTCTAAAACCATTTAAATAAAATTGTGGGATCAGTTCTATTAAGCCATTAATATTAAAACGGAGTTATGTAGGTTGATGTAGATTATTTAGGTCGAGGAATAAATTCATTCTTTGTGAATTATATTATTTATGTTTAGTATTATCCTTTTATCGTTAATGTTAACACTATTTCTACTACTTTCGTAATTATCTTGATCATTTCATCTTACTTTGTTGATACGATGTGTAAACTTGAACCAATACAGATGTGTCATGGTATCAGGTGATAAGTTATTTACGAAAGATAAACAGCTGAATATACGTTGTAGCTGACTGACCGACTGACTGACTGAATATACAGAAGCTAAGAACATAACTTACAACCAATACATATTTAATTATGAAATATTAAAAAAGAAGAGGGCCAAATGGTATACATGGTTGGCATTAGAACATTATTTGTTTGAATGCAGTCAATCACTAAATCGAACATTTGACATGTAACCTTAAAAAGAGAGAGAAAATGAAAAAAGTAAAACTGCCCCCAAATGCCCTGTTACGGCCGAGAGTAGGGAGAGTTCGCTCTCTCTCTCGAAATGCTCTCACTTGTCCACGCGTATACAGCCTCTGTCAGGGAAGTCCTACTCATTGCCTTCTCGTGGCGGGGGTGTTGGTTACGGAATTGAGAGGACGGAAAGTGAACGTCCGGCGCTCTAACCGGATTCCAAACCAATGCTCCATATGAGCTCCAGGATCCTGAGGGAACAAATGGGGTATGAACCAATTGTTGGTCACCGGCTTCCATGGGACTGCATCTCCTCACGATGCTCCACTGCCTTGTGGATCAGACCTTCAGGTCGAAGGCTCGGGGTGTGACACCCTAAGAAAACCACCTGCTTCGGTTTGGCCACCCGGGCAGTATCACAGCCCTCACACATATCGAATGAGATTTGTATGGCGCATATATATTTGGTGCCTCCTTGTAGCAATATCTATGTGTTAAAATAAATAAATAAATAAACTATCCTGTTCATGTTTCTTTTCACAATCTTTCCATCGTTTTTTCTATTGATTTTCTTTTTAATAAAATTTTTTTATGAATCAACTCCCAATTGTAAGACACTAAAACTATGATATTATTTCCCAATATTTATGACATAAAAAATAAAACGAATATTTACATAAAAATGACATACATCACTACAAAATTGGATAAAGCAGGAGGAAAGAAATCAGGCCAACGGGGTGGGGTGGATGGATAAGCATAATAGAATATGAATGAGGTTTTTAGCAGGAGACATTTAAATCTTGTTGGTATATAGTGAATAAAATCTTAAAAGTTATTACTAAGTTACACGAAACGAATTCATTGCCAATTGAATAATCAATTGTACAAACAAACGAATAGAGTGACCATGGGATTACCATTAGAATCTATCTTGGCCGATATCTTCATAGTTAGTCTAAAAAAAATATGAAACTAAAACACGAAATCCATGACACAATATAATAACTCCAGATATGTCGATGATACATTCATTATCTATGATGACATGGATCACGCTTCTAGGCTGCTTATTCATTTCAACAAGTCTCATCCAAAAATAATGTGTACAGTTGAATACACGAAAGAGATAATCAATTCGATATTTTTGATTTTCGTGTAAAATGCAAAAACGATGGAAAGATTGTGAAAAGAAACATGAACAGGATAGTATTCAAACTATAACAACTTTTCCTTTATCAGTTACAAAAGGTGTCTAATTAAAGCGATAAGGTTATATACTCAAATGATACAATAAATGAGGAATTGTCTATACTAGAAAAATACTTCATAAAAATTGGATATCTGTAGAAATTTATTGTGAATTATAGAAAACAACATTCTAAGCATGATAAACAACCAATTGTTGGTAAGAGAAACCTGTCTTATAAGCAAATAAATTTTCCGAAAAAAAGAAAACCGTACTTAGTCATACTTATCATCACTACATAATATGTAAGTCATGAATCGAAATAAGATTGAAACATGATGCTGGTAAAATAATCTGGTATTTATTAGAACGAACACAGTAAACCAGTTCAGTTTATTTTTTATCTATTACTAAGATGCTTGACCTTTTTAAGGTTCGAAATGTATCCATCCCCAGTTCATGAGGTCACTGGAGTAACACATCGGGCAGTTATAAATAACATGCAACCTGATACAAATGAGAATCCATTTAATTTTCTTCATTAGCACACTGAGAGAAAATTAATAACATTCAGAGCTCAGGAAGCAAGTATTCCCAGGTTTTTTGAACTAAAAGACAAGATAATTTATTTGTTTATTTCGTCCCCCACATATACGCAAATAATGAATAACACTAATGAAGCATAATTAGGAAATATATATAAAGATATAACAATAATACTAACAGTCAATTACTTACAATTTTTATTACATTCACATCAATGCACACACCAAGAAGCTGAACAATATCTGGATGATTTAGTCTATGCATAATTGATATTTCATTCAAAAAATCACATGTTTCCTCTTCATTCATTTGTTTAATATCCATAATTTTGATAGCAACTTGTAAACCACGTCTTGCATCTGTATGCCAAACACCCTATGGATAGATCCATTATAATATAAAAAAGATAAAAAATATAATACAATAAAAACGATATGCTTTAAAAGGGAATATTGTGACCAGTTGTCAAGTATAGCCTACTAATGTTATCGTGTTTATAATTAGGTTAATCGACGCATATTTATCAGTCGAGGTCCGAATCGCTCACCAGTAACAAAGGTTTGAATCCTTCAGGAAAAGTCGATTCCCTCAAGACAGCAATTACCCCGAAAAACAAGTGCTAAGTTGTGTGACACTTGGGTTGAGCAAAATTTCCTAACGATTACATCCGACTATCTAACAATCCATATATATGTTGAACAAAACAGATTAATGTAATAAACAGAGAAATAAATTAAAACAACTTGAGTACCGAAACTAATAGATCTCAGTCTAAGTTATCATACCGTCACCATCATGATGGTATCAACAACAAAAAACGAAAACCGAAATAGGTAGAACACATGAAGATAGAAAAGGAAGACGGATAAAATGATACGATGTTTAAAATTGAAAGAAATTGAAAGGGAAGAAACTATATGTTATTGTGACTGATTTTTGAGCTATTCTTCTTTAAAAACATTAACAATTGATTATGATTACGTGTACGTGCCAATGCAGATCAAATTTAAGGTACACTTATACCAACATAACACAGCAAAGAAAGATATCCAAGACAGGAACAAAAATATGCATCAACCAACTGAATCGATGAGATGGTACGAACTTTATCTAGTACCTTATATTGAACTTTATTATTCACCATTTGACAAACTTATTATAATCTAAGCCCAATGACATTTAGATAAACAAAATTGAATCATAGTGTTTTTATATGACTTGCAGTGGCATTCAAGACGCATAGTTTATCGTATCAAGTACTGGTCGCCTGGATTTACTTTGGTCCCAGTATTGTTACTCATACTAAGACACAAGCCTAATATTACTCGCCTAAAACACCAAACAGTTATCTACTGAGCTATTGAGTCTAAATAGCAAATATGAGAACAAAAACCCTGAGACCAAAAACCAAAGTCTTTCTTTTTTATTCAAAAGTTTATATCAATTAGAGAACCAGTTAGAAATTAATCGACACTAGGTAGTTGTTGTTGTACCCTACTTCTCAACACAGTATTCACGACTGATAATATAACAACTAGTTATACTTTAAGAACTTTAAGTTTTGTTACAAGAATGATTAAATTGGTATTTAATTGAATGCTACTTTATGATGAAACCCTGTACATTATTTTCATCATAAATAAATATCAGCTAAACAATAATAATCAGAGAGGAGTTTTATGAATATTATAGTAATTTAATAGTTGAGATCATGAATCAATTTCATGGATTGGTTCAAGTTAGACACTGACACCGTTGGATGCCGGCCAGTTCAGTGGTCTAGAGATTCAGCGTTCGCACGTGAGATTGATAAATCCTGAGTGCGAATCTCGCGAGGCGGGACCGTGAATGTACACTAGTGAGGAGTCCCACAATAGGACAAAGTGGCCGTCCAATGCTTCCAGGTTTTCAATGATCGTCTAACACCAGTCAGTTCATGATCTTAATCAAAAACTTAATAATCTCCACAACCCTATACTGATAAATTTATATTTAATTGAATGTTACTTTATAATGAAAACTTCCCTGTTCCTCAAATAAAATGAGAATAATAAAATAAACAATGTAATTTATTGGTCTATCTAATGAATCAATAATTAATTTAATTATTATTTATGAATATTAATAATAATAATAATTACATATTCATTGAATTAATTAACCCATAAATCAATAAATCGATAATCGAAAAAATAGTATAAAATGTTAATTGCGAAGAGATATTTTTTCGAAACAAAAACAAAAAAAAGGAAAATGTCGATATGGAAGAAAGTGAAACATTTCCCAATTTTCGTAATCAATAAAAAAAATATAAACAGCTATGACTATTATTATTATTTCTTATCCAAAAAAAAACAAACATCGGAATACTAAAACATAATAGATTTATACCCCAAAAACAAATGTACAAAACATAAATTATATACAGTTTAGGGGTTGTGGAGATTGTTAAGTTTTTGATTGAGATCACGAACCGATTAATGTTAGACCACCATTGAAAACCTGGAAGCACTGGACGGCCATTTCGCCCTATCGGGATTCGAACCCAAGGCCTTCAGTCTCGCGCGCGAACGCTTAACCTAACATTAATCGGTTCATGATCTCAATCAAAAACTTAACAATCTCCACAACCCCTAAACTGATAGTTATCATGTGCTCACTAGTGATTAGCTTCGTGAGAAAATTCTCAGAGTTCTGGTGAGAAGCCGTGACCAGTGTAGCTAATCCGTGTCGGGTAGAAACAGGTATCTACCTCAGTACAATGAAAGATGGTCGCGCAACTTCGTTCATGATCTCAATCAAAACATAAATTATATACATTCAGTTGGTGTTGTTTTGATTGTATCTTCCTATTGTTATTTAGGACTGCAATTGATCAGTCTCTTAATGGCATACGTGCATTCTGTGTGAATTGCTTCGATATAGCCTTAAGTCACAAGCTTTTTAGACAAAGATGGATAGTGTCTAGCAGTGGAATCCAGAACGTGTTTCGTCCCATTTCGGACTCGTCAGATGGATGTACTGAATCGCAGAGTTGATGTTCACTCTGTGACTGGAATCCAGTAACGTTCACTTCAAAACGCCATAACGTTATTCACTCAGCTACTGAGTCTTGATAGCCAATTGCTTCTGCAATGGGGTGAAGTTTAAATTCAATTGGTGTTGTTTTAATTGTATCTTGACATTGTTATTTAGGACTAGAATTTATCAGTCTCTTGTTGACATATGTGTATCCTGTATACATGTACAGACATACAGGCGTATAAGATTGTAGCTTAATGCTATATTAATGGCTTTGAAAAGGCAGAGAAAAGTAAGTAAGTAAGTTTAGACAAATAAGTCTGAAATAGATATTTTATTAGTCAGAAAAGTTGGAAGTTCTTCCTTTACAGTTTCTGAACTTTGTACTTAATGATGTACATACTACAATCTGTACTATGCTAAATTATTTGATAGACAGTTAAATGAATATGATTGGTTTCTAAAACTGTGAATATGATTTGAATTTATAATTGATATTGGGTAGGATTGAGAGATTATTGATTGATTAGCGACTCTTATCTTTATGTTTTATGAAAAATTTAATATCCAAAAAGTAAATAATATTCCCTTGGTTGAATATTATATTGCCCCCAAATGCCCTGGTATGGCCGATGGTGAGGAGGGCCCTCCCTCCCTCTCGAAGTGCTTTCACACGGCCACGCGTATACAGACTCTGCCAGGAAAGTCCTACTCACTACCTTCTCGTGGCATTACTGTTGTTTACGAAATTGAGAGGACGAAAAGCGGATGTCCGGTGATTTAACCGGATGCCTAACTAATGGTGCACATGGGCTCCAGTATCCTGAGGGGAGAAATGGGGTATGAACCAATCGTTGGTCACCGAATACTATGGAACTGCATCTCCTTACGATGCTCCACTGCCTTGATGTCACCAAATTGGTTGCAACTTATGTTGCAAGTAAGTATCGAATCGAGCTAGTTTCTAGGCTAGCTACCATTCCACCGAAAAGTATAGATGAGCATTGGTTGCAATTGCATGACGCCATGAAAATGGCGGGAACAGTCAGTTGTGGGTTTGCGAAACGTCCCGCTTTAAGCACTGGGTTTCTTCTGGTTCCTTACAACTCATTGAAGCCCGTCGGTCTACTCCGGGTGACCGTGAGTTTGACCATAAACGAAGGATGTTACGTAAGGAAATTGGGCAAAGCTTGCGTAAGGACCGAGAAGCCTGGTGGTCGGAGCGTGCTAATGAGCTGGAAGCAGCAGCTGCATCTGGTAACTACCGGAAGCTCTTCCAACTCATCCGAGCCACTGGCAGCAAGAAGTCTGGTGTGAGTGAAACAATCTGCGAGGATGATGGGATGCCAATCACTAACATCCATCGACGTCTTGGACGATGGGCAGAATTTTTCGAAGGGCAGTTCAACTGGCCTGCTGCTCCGGCAACATCGGTCAGACTGTCCTGCCCTCCATGGCCGGTGACGACTGATCCACCAAATGAGGAGGAAGTCCGCAAGGAACTCCAACTCTTGAAGCGTTACAAATCACCTGGCCCAGATGACTTACCTCCGGCTCTTTTTAAAGATGGTGGTGACTTTTTGACTAAGGAATTGACGACGTTGTTTACAAAGGTTTGGGAACTAGAGAGTGTACCAACGTCATGGAATGAGTCGATAGTTGTCCCTATCTTTAAAAAGGTTCACGTCGTTCCTGTAACAACTATCGGGGGATAAGTCTACTTCCGATTGCGTCCAAGCTATTGGCTTCCGTCATACTTCGTAGGTTGTTCAAAACCCGAGAAAGATTGACTCGCGAGGAGCAGGCTGGGTTTCGTTCTGGTCGAGGATGTATTGATCATATCTTCACCCTCCGCCAAATGTTAGAACACCGCCATACTTATCAAAGGCCAACAATCGTAGTGTTTCTTGACATCAGGGCTGCCTTCGATTCGTTGGACAGGACTGTTCTCTGGGATTGTCTATTGAAGAAGGGTGTGCCTGAGAAGTTTATTAACATCCTGAAAGCCCTATATACAAACACCTCAGGCAGAGTGAGGGCATACAACCACCTTTCTCCATTGTTCCATTCGAGCAGTGGGGTTAGGCAGGGTTGCCCAATCTCACCATTCCTCTTCAACTTTGCCATCGATGACATTCTGGAAACAGCTCTGATGGATGTAAGTAATGGTCGTGTGGATCTGTTGCCTGGAGAAAGACTTCTCGACCTTGAGTATGCGGACGATATTGTCTTACTGTGCGATAATGCCCAAGGCATGCAATCCGCACTTAATCAGTTGGCAATCAGTGTCCGTAGGTATGGTATGTGCTTTGCACCTTCGAAGTGCAAAGTACTTCTACAAGACTGGCAGGATTCTAATCCTGTACTCACCCTGGATGGTGAGCAGATAGAAGTAGTCGAGAAGTTCGTGTATCTGGGTAGCTGCATAAGTGCTGGTGGGGGTGTGAGTGATGAAATCAATGCACGTATAGTGAAAGCCAGAGCGGCTTATGCCAATCTGGGCCATCTATGGCGCCTTCGTGATGTTAGTCTGGCCGTAAAAGGTCGGATCTACAACGCGTCAGTGAGAGCAGTTTTGCTCTATGCTTGTGAAACCTGGCCTCTCCGAGTTGAGGACGTTCGACGACTCTCTGTGTTCGATCATCGCTGTCTCCGAAGGATTGCTGACATCCAGTGGCAACACCATGTCAGTAATGCAGAAGTTCGGCATCGTGTGTTCGGGAGCACAGACGACAATGCAATTGGTGTTGCCATCTTGAAACACCGACTTCGGTGGCTTGAACATCTTCTACGGATGTAGTCCCAGAGAATTCCACGTCGTGCATTATTTGCCGACTCTGGGACTGGTTGGAAGAAGCGGAGTGGTGGTCAGTGCATGACATGGTGTCGTGGCATGAAAGAAAGCTGCAAAGGACTGGCTTGTGTTGGTCCTTCACGACTCCCTGGTTGGGGTCTGAGAGATGGTGCTACGCAGTGACTAGAGACGTTATCAGATATGGCTCAGAATAGAAGCCAGTGGCGATCCTGCTGTGACCTTCTTTTACTTTCTCCATAAAAAAATGGTTGTATCTTCCCTAACTGAAAGATTTCTTCTGGCTGTACCCTTCTGTTTCCCCCATTACTATTATTATTATTATTATTATTATTACACTACCTTACACTAATGTGGTCGTTATTGTTCTTTTTTTCTTATACGCACCTTACATCCTTTTTCTCTTCCCATTCGCATTGTTTTATGTGGCGCATATATATCTGGTGCCCCCTTGTACCAATATTTATGCGTCCAAATAAATAAATAATAAGTGAATATTATATTACTATGACAAACTTTAATCCCCAAATGTATTCAGTTAGTTAGTTGGCTAGTTGTTCCCTTTTGTGAAGTTTATCCTCCTAGAATTTGGGAATTGGTTTCGTTAGGAAAAAAATTAGGTTTATCATATGAACTTTTTAGTGTATTTTATCAACCTAATGATGCTATCAGAGTGGTAAGTAACTGATAAGGCTGAATGCTTGAAATATCGGTTAATTGTAAGAAATTAACATCTTGGTATATCTATTATTAGATAGGAAGTAAAGGCAAATAATGAATCTAGATAAGCGTGAAATGAATGAAATTTAAGAAATGACTAAAATAAAGAGACAGAAATTCTGGGATTACGCTCAATTTAAAACACAGAGGAAGTTAAAGTATGTATGCGATTGTTATGTTTTCTGAGAGCCATGTTACTTAGCATTTCAAACTATAGACTACGACTATTTTGTGGATCTAAACCAGAAAATTTGCATCATTTGTCAGGCTTCACACCAACAGTCAATAGATTTATGAACTTATACTGTACCTTCGTTTGTTTACCTATAAGGTTTCTTTGAATCTATTACCTACTCTAGCTAGAACTGCACACCCGCATGTAGCACCTCGCGACGACCTTAGCTACTTGAGATCTACAACCTAATCAAATAAATTTTTATTTTTATTTGGATTCATAAGTATTTATTAAGATATATTTGTTTCACCATGAGAGTAGTGTTCCTAAAACACCTATGATGTTACGTCGAACATATACAACCCTAAATTTTAAAAGCTATTTTTTACAGTCACAAAGTAACACACAGAAGCCTATTGAGTAGTATGCATACTGTTTAATCAGGAGACGGAAACCTCCCATGAGCCTTAGGTGATGGAAAGTGGCAAAAGTCAGCTAAGTTTCCTGAATGGGCTGATTTTTTCTCAGGCACTAATCCACCAGAACTTATGAGATTTCCAAGTGAATTTGCTAACACACTTAACTACTTCATTATCAATAGTTAGATCAGGCACTGACGTAGGTCAGTCCTCAAGAAACACATTACATTTAATGTTAGGAAAACGTAAACCAAACTCTCTGTCATTGTCACTTAAATCAAGCACGTTTATATATGTCCCATTTATGGGATAAAAGTTTTATACATAAATATCAAAAACAAGTCAATACGAAACAATTCAAACAGACATTGTATCGACATTACGTTTTCATTAAAAAAAGAATATGGAACTTTGTATTCATGTTAATAATCATTTGACAGTTAACCTGTGAAAATGAGCTTACGAATACAAGAATTAGACCCTAACTAGTTTAGTGTAGCATAATACAATATTCGTTTATCAAATATATACGCGATGAAATAATCTCATCGATTGAACAACATTCTGCATTGGATAAAGATACATATTCTCTCTGTTAAGTGTAATCTTTACTAAGTAACTACAATCTTCCCGTTAGTAAGCTGTTTATGCATTGATAATCACCTTTCAATGCGAATGAAGATCTCTAAGAGAAAGTTAGATTGTACAGAGATGTGGATAATCATTTGTAATGAATACCAATCGAAATAAGATACCCAGCTTAAGAATTTCCCTCAATACTTTTTTTCCCAATTTACATTAAGGACATGTATTTGGAAAATTAATCTAAGCAAAAAATTCCATCAAATAACAACAAAAATAATTATTGATGCTTCACTTGATGGGACAAAAACTAACTAAAACACACAAAAAAATATTTTTGTATTAGAATAAAGTAGATAATTAAACCTTTTTTGTAATGTTTATATTACCTGAAAAACTTTTCCAAATTCTCCTTCACCAAGACTACTTCCAATTTCAAGTTCATTCGATTGAATAACCCGATAATTTGTATTTCCATTAATGGTTAAATTATTCAAATTGCCTGTCAAACACTTATTACTACCATCATGACCTTTAGAATTTTGTGTAAGTAATAGTGTACGTCGTTTTGAATCACCATCTTCAGATGTTGGTGTACTATCTAATGAAATGGATAATACGTTGAGATTACGAGATGATAATCCATCTAATGTATCTTTGAGTCGTGGTGATAAACATCGACCACTAGTAGATCGAGCTAAGCGCTAAACGAGAAAATAAAAAGAGAATGAAAAAGTTATCTTTCTGGAAGAAAAGTAATAATTAAACTTTGATAGCAATTAGGAATTCTTGGATTTTATTGCTTTAATCAGCTGTAGTTTAAAGTACTTTATGAGGTCTAAAGATATGGTGATCACTACGAATTTTGTTTCGTTGACATTATGATACAATCCACCAGGCTTTAAATAACTAGAGATAATTGGTAGAAAGTTCTTCATTTAAGTTTAAAGGATTAAACATTTCAGTTAATATTCATTTATAAGATTAGATACAATAGAACATTTCGGAAGGGATAATCATACAGCAAATAAGGGTAGGGATATATGTGTGACTATCAGCAAAGTACTGTTTGCTAAGAAATACTGAAAAAGAAAATACAATACAGAAAATTATGTGTTGATGTTCATTTATTTCTAACTATAATCCCTTGAGTTAAACTAACCTTTCTTAGCTTTCCCATAGCAGTTTGCGGGCATTCTCGTTTGAAATGTTTCCGTAAACGTCGTTGTTCTGGTCGACTGAAACCTAGTTCTGCAAGATCAGAATCTTCAACATATTTGATTTGTTGAACTGAACGTATCTGTAAAAATAGCAAAAATAGTGAACTATGAGGAATATCATTTCGATAAATAGGATATCGATAAAAATGACGCTATGGATTTGATTTAAATAATAAACTAAGGATATAAAAACATTTGTTTTACTTCTGTATAGGTAGCGAGGTGGCGTTTTCAGCCTGTAGGAGAGTTGATTTTCCGCTTGCAAATATAAAATTAGGTTTTTTAATTGAGGTGAATTTGTTCACCCAAATCAACGACTATGTTAACATCCTTGTACTAGTCTAAGTTAAACCTATTTGATGAAGACTAGAAATACTGCTCAAAAGCATATGAAATGAAGTCGGAATTTGTGTCTTAGTAACTGAAAACTGGCTGATTAAACTACTGAGTCACAGCTTCACTATCCATTCATTGATTTAATTATGGGATACATTGCAGACTGCATTCAGTTCATTAATCTTAGTGTTTTAAAAAAGTGATTAATAGAATATTTTGAACGAATGTCCTTTCAGCTGGGTGACAGAATTTCTGGTCGGACATAATCTATCCCCTAGTCCATAAATTTAGTAAGTTGTTTTAAGCTAGAATTCTAGCTGAAAAACTGTAGTGTTTGTATGAACTAATGTTTCTTTTGTACTTGATGACTGCCTAATTTCGAATTCTAAATACAATACGTTTGTTCGTGCTCTTCTAGTTTTCCTTAGTTAAATTGTGTTATTTCTAGGATTCCTAATTCGTACAATAATTCAAATACCTCCAATTATCACAGAAACATTCCAAGTTAAAAATCATTAAAAGGTCATAAATATTCACCAGAAATCAAATTGCTTCGATCATTGTAAGGCTATTTTTCCCAATATAAAGCATCTTTCTTAGCTCCCTCTATAATTCACCCGACACTAAGTTTGTTTTGAACAAGTTAACAACTACCTTATTAGTTGTAAGTTTTTTCTTTTAGCCTTTCTGGTCAATAGGTTAGAACAGTAGTAAAACAGTAAAGAAGAGCAGAACGATGGAGACTACTGTAAATTTTTGAACACCTAGTTTGTGTATTTTGTGTTGAATCAAAGTTTAATAGAAATTATAACTTTAAATATAAAAGAGAATTTGATTATTTTTTATATGGGTATCGACGAACCTGGATATGATCGAGTATGCAGGGTCGAAGTGGTACATATTTTAAAATGCTACTTTTACAGTTTTTAAAAAAATTGACTAACCTTTAAATGACGAGTAAGTACGGAGTAATAGTGGTCTAGTTCTGCATCCTTTAAGAACTCATAAAGATCCTTTTCTGAAGGCTGTTGCTTATCTTGATTAGAAAGATTTAAGAATGATGGAGGCGGGCTTTTTAGCACAGTACATCCTAAAGGCATGACCGGATACTGTCTTTGTTCCCACACCTCTCCTATTGTACCTTCTGTCGCAGTTGTTGCTAAACTTAGTGAATCAGACAATGTATCTGCACTTGGAGCTGACAGTTTTAAATGACTACAGCCAATTCTAGAACGATCACCTCGAAGATGTTGAGATGTTGATCGTGAACGTAGATTTCCGTTTTCACTGACTATAGGGATGTTAGTAGTCGGTGACAAAGAGGCAGTCAGCATGCCCGAAGAAGTTGAATGATAAACTTATTACACTACCGACACCTAATTCAAATAGGAGAAAAGGGACAATCAAAGTGCTTTCACAGAACTACGAAAACCCGGAATTATAAAAACAGAAAAGTGAAATAATTTAAAAGAAAATCTAACTTGGACTTCAACACCTCATGACTTTATGTTTACATTGTCCATTGTGTTTACCAATTGCTCCCAAATTTCCTGCTAAGGCAAACAGTGGGAAGAGTCAGATCTCCATCTCCAAATGCTCTCACATGGCCACGTACATAACACTGTCAGGGAAATCCTACTCACTACCTTCTCGTGGCATTACTGTTGTTTACGAAATTCAGAGGACAAAAAGCGAATATCCGGTGCTTTAATTGGGTTCGTGGATATGGAAGATCCACCTTCAAGAGTTGGAAAACGCTGATTTAGAACCAATGGTGCAAATGAGCTTCAGGATCCTGAGCGAACAAATGACGTATGGGACAATTATTGGTTACTGGCTACCATCGGATTGCATCTCCTGACGTTGCTCCATTACTTTGTGGATAAGACCTTTAGGTTAAAGGCTCTGGGTGTGGCCTCCTAAAACCACCTGCTTTATTTTGGGCGCACGGGTAGTATCCCAGCTCACACACCAATCTAGTGATTTATGTGGTACATTTGGTACCTCATTGTACCAATGTTTATGCGTTTAAATAAATTTAAATAAATAAATACCAACACAATGTAGTGATCAGCAAAAAAACATTCGTACGATTTCCTATTCTCTAAACATGCATAAAGACGATTAACAAGAACAAAACCAATGAAACGGAAAGAATGGATAAACCAGACATAAAAATCAAATAAAAATGAGAAGCGAAGATAATGATATGATACTATATAGTTTATAAGATATCTTGTAAACGTAGAGGGAAATAAAGCCACTGCAACGGACTTATAACAGTGTCATCAAACCAATGATAGGTAACATAGTGTACTCTAATAGATTGTGATTCAATATGAGTAACGGACTTCTGAACTACCTCAATTGATAAAGGTATAAAGTCTAGATAACACTTACCAATATTACCGAGTACTCTGTCCTGATTTACTAACAATTATTGTGCTGGCACGTGTCAAAAGTGCTCAACAATGTGATAACAGGGTTTTTTGTTTTTACTAATCAGAACGTCTAAATACGTCTTCCTTGTTGTAGAACGCAAAGCGATATTTCCACCACTCATAATCTCATATGGCAACGTTTGTGCTATCACGCCTCCAAATTTTGATCCGTTTAAAACCGATCGTCTCAATAAAAATCGGAAAACGTTCAAATTCATGATCGAGTGAGCACAAGTTGAGACCACTCTTTCCCGGATCCCACAGAATGGTCAACGATTGATATTTCAAACTAGAATAAATAAAGCAAACTAAGAAAGTGAAACTTCCGAAGTTAGAGGTACCCACAACAAGGATCAATGGAGCGACGGACCTATAGTCCTAATTCGAATTACAAATTAAACAAAATCCTGAATACGGTTAGTAACAGATAATCAAAGTCAATCAAAAACTTCTTCAACTAAACATGGATGCGACAAAATTATGTTCTGTTTTACCTTGACGTTTCTATTCCGGACACAAGGGGGATCTACCGTCATTAACATATAACGAAAATACGAAGTCAATCGAAAACCAATGCAAACACAGCGCGCAGCGCAGACCTTCGAGTGTAAACTTCAATCCTCAAAGTTTAAAGATTCAGATGGTTGTGGGCGGGATAGTAGAAGCTTTCGCTGAACGGGCTCCCGTGTCTGGTAGCAGTGGATCGTCAATATCTCCAGGCAGGAACCTACATTTATTAACGATAATAGAGGAAAAAGAAATTGGTCAATCATAGTAACCCAGACAACCAAAAAGGGGAAATAAAGGCGAACAAAGAGGAAATAAAGGGGTAAATGCTTTGGTAGCGAAAGTGAAAATAAGGGCCAGACGCGCCAGAATGTCTCCTTTTTTGCCTGTCCGTAGGAAATAAAGCGGATTTCCCTCTTTTTTGCCGCTTTGTCGATAAATTGCCGACTTTTCAGTTTCAGTTTCAGTTTGGGAAGGACAGGAGGCTCGATGGCCTATGTTAGTCCTGGCAATGGTGGTCTCTCAGTTGATCCAACTTTCTTTTGAAAGAGTCGACGGATGGAGCCTCAACGACGTGCTGAGGTAGTGAATTCCACTCGTTGATGATTCGATGGGAAAGTCGATAGTCAGCTGACAAGTAATTTGTTCTCGGCTTATGAACTTTTTTGGAGTGTCCTCGTAAATTCTCTGTTTTGGAAGACAAGAAAAATGAGGGCATGTTAGGTGCAAATTTATCACTAAGCAATTTGTAGACTGTAATCAAGTCGCCTCTAGTTCTGCGATATGACAACGGGAAAAGGTTCAGCTTGGCCAGTCGAGATTCATACGGAAGCTTCGCTATTCCGGGAACCAGCTTAGTCGCCGTTCTCTGAACCTTTTCCAGAAGCTCACTGTCTTTTTTAAGCAGGGGCTAGCCGCTTGTATGCAGTACTCAAGTTTAGGACGAACGAACACTGTATACAAAGTCAAAAACGTCTTAGCGTCGACATGACTAAAAGCCCTACGTATTGACCATAACGTTCTAAAACTTTTGGCGGCTATTGCACGGCAGTGTGCAGTAGTCTTTAAGTCTTGACTAACGATAACTCCTAAGTCATTATATGTCTGGACGACAGGTAGCTCAGTGTTATTCATCGTGTATGTATCTGTGCCTTGATGACCGATATGCATCACAACACACTTGGAAGTATTTATCGGCAACTGCCATGTTTGAGACCATTCAGATAACTTCTTCAGGTCATTTTGAAGTTCTAAGCTATCACTCTTACATCGTATCGTTCTCCATATCTTGACATCGTCAGCATATAGCAAGACCGATGATGATAGGAGACAAGGAAGGTCATTTACATACAAGAGGAATAGCACTGGCCCCAAAACTGTACCCTGGGGCACTCCACTAAGCACAGTTTCCCAGCTAGATAACTTTGAGTTCACCCTTACTCTTTGTTGACGCCCAACTAAGAAGTCTTTTATCCACATCAATAAATTACCTCCAATCCCGATATGTCTTAACTTATATAACAGCCGGTTGTGCGGAACTTTATCAAAAGCTTTACTGAAATCAATGAAGGCGACGTCTACAGGTAGCTTTTGGTCCTTAAGAGCGCACCAGCTTTCACGAGCCACTAATAAGTTAGTGAGACAAGAATAACCTATTCTGAAGCCGTGCTGCTTCTCCGAGAGGATCCGGTTTTTATCGAGATACTTAAACAGCTCCTTCCGAATAATCTTTTCTAATATTTTAACAACCACACTAGTTAGGCTAACGGGGCGGTAGTTCTCAGGTTTGTGTTTCGTGCCTGTTTTGAAGACAGGACTTACTATGGCGTTTTTCCAATCTTTCGGTAAGCGACCCTGCGTAACGGATAGGTTAAAGCATGTACTTAAAGGGTTCGCAACGAAGTTAGATAATTCCTTCAGTAGCCTAGGATGTAATTCATCGGGCCCCGTGGATTTACCTATGTCAAGCTTATTTAGCAGACCAAAGACATCGAGTTCTTTAATGGTCACGCTATCCAGTGTATGTATGGGGGGATCTGTATACGCTGACGAGAAGGGTGCTTCTATGGTATACACGTTGCTAAAGTAGTTCGAGAACGCTTGAGCCTTACCAAAGTCGTCCTCCACTAATGATGAAGCAGTACTGTCTCCCCATAGAGCAGGAATATTTCCTTTTCTCCTTGTCCTTTGGTTTATATAGGAATACAAGCGTTTAGGACATTCTATGGATTCCTTAACAAGTTTTTCTTCGTACAATTTTCTAGACTTACGGAGGGTCGAGGCACAAGTGTTCCGAGCCTTTCGATACTGAGATTTTGACTCATCAGTCCCCAGTAACCTAAATCTATCCCACGTTTTCCTTTTCTTACGGAGAAGGATACGGACCTCCCTACTGAACCATGGTGGTGAGTTTTTCGGCCCCTTTGGTATAGTCCAAGGGATGTGAGGTGTGGTAACTTTTAAGTATGATTTTCGAAATGCGTCCCAGGCCGTTTCAATGGAGGACTCTGGGTCTATTGTCCAATCTATTAACGATGCTGAGTGCATGATGTCTGGTATGTTTGCTTTCCAGACGTTGGGTCTGGACTGGACTGACGCGTCCTCATGACTGGCAGTTATATGGAAGTCGAAAGTTAAAACTGCGTGGTCACTTTTACCTAAGGGTGGCATATGGTGGAGGTTCGCAACATCATCCTCATAGTGAGTCAGTATAAGATCTAATAAGGATGATTCAGTGTCCGGGTCGCTTAAATATCCCCTGAATTGTCTATTTTTTGCCTAAATATCCGCCAAATTACCCACTTCTCGCCAAATTTCCGCGGAATTGCCTACCTATACGCCTAATTGTCTACTTTTCGCCTAAATACACACAGAACTCCCTATTTTCAATCCATTGACATAACCCGAAAGGTCTCCTATATTCGCCTTTATTTACAACAACAGACCAAAATAAATCTGCGATGCACTGGAAAACCGGTATATTTTTGAAAATTTTATTTAAAAGGAAAAGCGTATTATTGTACAACATTAGAGCAGAAGCTTGAGCATCTACTGTTTTTGCATATCCATTGCAAGTGCTAATTCATTGTTATTTGAAATTATCTGCAAAAGAAGGAACAGGTGATGTATTATTTATAAGGAGTGTGCATTTAATCAAAAGTTCACTGACACTCACACATTCTCAATACTTCTATAGTTTCCGATGTGAGTAAAAAAGTAAGCTGTTTGACAAAATAATGTTTATTGAAATGTAGGTAGAGCATCAAAACAATTGCACGGATTATTCCCTTCAGCCACGTTCGTTCGCATATGGAGAATTGAAATAGTCGTCCTGTGAATTCAGAAGTTTAAAAAACAGAGCAAGTCAAAACAATATCTGAATAACATGTCTGGGCACAGACAAATACTGTAAGCTAAACTTGCGGTTATGTCCGTTAACACTGATGACTGTAACTATAGAGCCGTAAGTAAAGTTGTCACTTTAAATTAGTACAGACCTGCCGTTCTTTACATTTATACTCAAATCCGTAATGGCTGAGGACATTTTATGCATCATTGTGTACAACCTATCAAAGCTGAGAAAGTTCACTTGATGAGGCTGGTGACTTACTGGGCCGCTATAGCACCACCGACTTGCTTAGATTCCGACGTTGAAGGTGATGTCTCTAATTACGTCGAACTAGTTCGTAAACATGTAAATAGGTATGAAACGTACTTCGCAATTGACGAGACGACCTTTTCAAACAACCGAAATTTTGGATATTGTACGTGGCTATTGACAGCTTGCATTTCAGTAACATCCATGTCTACTGAATTGTAAAGAAAGTCTTCTTTACGCTTCAATGCACCTCTAGGAAATAATAGTATGACTATTGTACTGACCTCTCAGGCTTCTCAGTGTGCTGCGGCAAAGTTTTTTCATCGGCTGAAGTGTTTTTCTGGCGAGATTCCAGTAATTGCAAAGAAACTAATAAATCTTTCGCAGACTGCAAAGAATCTATAGTGATTTATTGTTCCTATGTTCGTTACTTACCTAGTTCATGAATGATATTACATTTCATAACAGCCCAGTTGTTATCTGGTTGACCATAGTTTTGCAGGTGGGTTTCCATCAGGTCCTTTGGAAAAAGGCAAAGTCCTTTTCCGACAATCCATTCCTTGAATGCTATCATAAGTGCTTTCTTGATTGGTACGTCAACAATGACGTATTGCTTGTTAGCGGGCTAACAATAACGTAAGGCGTAATTAAGTGGTTTATCATCATTAATTAAACGCTAATGAAACAAAATGCACTTACAATAAAGTATGCAACAATGGGATTATAACTAAATAATTGATACAATTGATGGCTATACATTTACAATCAATGTCCTTCAGTGATATCCATGTGTGTTCATGGCTAACTACGGAGCACATAAAGATTCCTATATCACTAGATGGGAAAGGACCTTCAAAGTAATTGCGTGGGTCAGTGAAAGTCCCAAATTTTAATAGTCACTCCTTCTCTATATCAGTGACTAAACCTGGCTGGTCGTTTACTACTACTACTACATTATCAGGCTTAAATGAAGTTATTTTACTATTGTTAAACATAATTATCTTAAGATATTATCCTTAGTCCTTAAAAATGTATCAAGCTTTCTCTTAAAAAATCTCATGAGAAGTCACTTGGACTAGCTCAGCAGGCAGCGAATTCCTGCATTCAACTACTCATAAGGAGTACAAGTTTTGTCTACAGTTTGTTCTGCTATATTGTGTCTCCAATATCTGGGTGTCACCCCTTAGGTTTGTATAGAAACTAAACTTAAGTAGGTGTTTAGAGGGATTTTCAGAAGTGTTAAGGATACTGTAAGCCATTGGAACGTCACTTCTAAGACGCCTGTACTCTAATGGGTAAAGGTTTGGTGATCGGAGTCGCTCTTCATAAGGCTTGAATTTGAGTCCCAGAGCTCATTCCGTGGCTCGCCGTTGGATACGCTCCAGAATGTGTCCTTATCCTTTTAGAGTGAGTGAGGAAATACTTTTTTTCTGTACTCTCAATGGGGACGAATGAAACTGTTGAAGATTGTGTGGAAAATTCT